TGTGGCTCTCACTTAAGTGAGGGTATAAGAGTAATTATTGTTTGTTTAGAAAAGTATAAATAAAGGTTGGTGAGTGGTGGAATGAAGAATTGAGAGGGGTAAAGTGGAAAGGTGTAAGGTTCCACAAAAAGTTGAAGAGATTGAGAGCTAGGATCAAAGAGTGGAATYGGGAGCATTTTGGAAGGGTAGAGGATCGAAAGAATATTTTGATGTCCAGGATTGATGAGCTAGACTCCAAAGAATTCCAGAGAATTATGAATGAGCAAGAAAGGATTTTGAGAAGTAKCTTAAAAAAAGAATTGGAAAAGAAGTTCTTCTTAGAGAGGAGATTTCCTGGAGGCAAAAGTCAAGACACAAATGGATCAAAGAAGGGGATGGCAATACAAAATTTTTCCATGCGTTGGCTAATGGGAGGAGAAGAAAAAACTTTGTGGCCAAATTAGAAGTGGATGAGGAGGAAGTCACAAATCAAGATGAGATAGCAAAAGTGTTGGTGGTTCACTTTAAATCAATTGCAGGGAAGCCTTTGAATAATAGACTAAGGCTGGAAGGTCTAGATTGGCCCAGGCTGTATGAAGAGCAAGCAAGCTGGTTAGAGAGAAGTTTTGAAGAAGAGGAAATTAGGCATGCAGTGTTTTCAATGGACATATCCAAAGCCCCTGGGCTAGATGGCTTCACCATGGCTTTTTATCAAGACTGCTGGAATGTGGTAAGAGAAGATCTTTCTGCTGTGTTTAAGGAATTTGAAGTTAATAACAAAGTAAGCCCTGGAGTTAATTCTACTTTCATAGCTCTAATCCCTAAGAAGAAAGAAGCAAAAAATCCTAAAGATTTTAGGCCGATYAGTTTGGTGACTAGTATTTACAAAATCCTGGCTAAAGTGTTGTCCTTGAGGATTAAAGTAGTGCTACCCTCCATCATTAGTCAAGCCCAGGGAGCATTCGTGCAAGGGAGATAAATAACAGATCAGATTCTAATAGCTAATGAATGTGTGGAGGATATGAGAAAGTCCGGAAAGCAAGGCTYTTTTTGTAATCTGGATTTAGAAAAGGCCTATGATCTTGAGGATTGGAGTTTCTTATTAGAGGTCCTAGGGTGTTGTGGGTTTGGAGTTAGATGGTGTAATTGGATAAAGGGCTGCATAAATTCTTGCCACTTTTAGGTCTTGGTTAATGGGGTAGTCAAGGATTTCTTCCCAGCTTTTAGAGGGTTAAGGCAAGGTGACCCCCTTCCCACTTTTCTTTTTACCCTAGTTGTAGATGTTTTCAGTAGTTTGATCTCTAAGGCAGACATGGAAGGTGCAGTGAGAGGTTGGAGGATAGGAAGGAAYGGGATTAGGGTGACCCATTTATAGTTTTCTGATGACCTAATAATCTTTTGTGAAGGGGGTGATAGGAGAATAGTAAGTAATCTCAAWTCTTTGATAAAGCGCTTTGAGAGAGTATCAAATCTTAAAATAAACATGGAAAAGAGCTGTGTGGTGGGTGTGAATCTAGATGAGAGGACTATTGAGTTGGTAGCTGAGTATCTAGGTTGTCCCATTTCCTCTTGGCCCTTACAGTATTTAGGTCTTCCTCTAGGAGCCAACCCTAAGGAGAGCACCTTTTAGGTCCCGGTTCTAGAAAAGTTTGGGAAAAGGTTAGCCTCGTGGAAAAGGAACTATATTTCTTTAGGGGGTAGAGTTACTTTACTGAGAGCTTCCTTAGAAAATCTGCCGATTTATTACTTTTTCTGTGTTTAGGATTCCTGTTAGGGAGGCCAAGAAATTAGAGAAATTAATGAGAAATTTTCTTTGGGAGCCAGGAGAGGAAAAAAGGGACACTTAATAAATTGGGGAATTGTGTGTAGGAGGAAAGAGGAAGGTGGGTTGGGACTGGGGAACTTAGTTTTGAAGAATAAAGCACTCCTTGGGAAATGGTTGTGGAGATGACCCTTAGAACTGAGAGACTTTGGCATGAGGTGATAGATACATGGCAGTTCGGGAGATGGATGGGATGCTGGTGTATCGTGTCGAGCCACTTTGGCAACTCCTTGGAAAGCAATTCAGAGTATTCTTCCTTTTTTCCTCAACTGTATCAGGTATGATGTCAATTCTGGTACTTTTGTTTTGTTCTGGGAAGACATCTGGGTGGGCAAATCTGCCCTTAAGGACAGTTTCCCTTCTCTCTATTCCATTTCTTGCTACAAGGGTAAAACAATTTCTCACTTTCTCCCAAATCTGCATCTCCATCTTCTCTGAATTGCGACTTTGGGTTTCGTAGGGGCTTGAGGGATCATGAACTCTCCTGTGTCTCAGATCTTTTGTGACTACTTGAAAGTGTTTTTTTTTGGACCCTT